ACCTGCAAGGTGTTTTGCTTTAAAAATGTATAAGTTTAATCAACTCCCCTCGTTTATGGAACCCTGTATATTTAAGAAAGTATAACAAAATCATACAAATTTATATAATTTTTTTTTTCGTATTTCCACTAATAAAACAGCTATCGATCAATTACGCACCCATAAAGTTTATGTGTTATTGGCTAATATTTTGGTATAGATAAATAGGCAAATTTATAAGAAATTTTAGGCCAAAATAATATACAGGGTGTTTTGTTTGAAAAAATTGATTAAATTGAACTTAAAATTAGCCATATTTAAGACATGTTTTAAAACACTCTGTATAAAATAAACCAGTTCTATCACCACTATTCGTTAGCTTAGTATTTTATAAGTCTGTGCATTAAACAATTTTGAAATTAATGTAAACCTACCTAAATTATGATAATTTAATTTGGGGTCTGCATCATTCTCCAATTTAAAAAAAAATGAATTGCTTGGCAACACTAATATTTTTTAATACATTTTAGGGTTAAATACAGTATTACCAAACCATTCTAAAAATAAAATAAAATACAGGGTGTTCCATTTAAAAAACATACATTTTGATTTGCCAATTAAATTCAAAAATATTTTTAAAATATGTATTTTTCAAATCCATATAATTTTTATTTAAAACTTTTTTTGCGTGTCTACAACACAAATTCAAATATGATCAATTACGCACTAATGGGACATCCTGTATAAATTATATTATTATTAATTAAAATTTCTTATAATGTGGTACTTACCGGTTTGGGTCCTTGGGAAAACGAAAGAATGTTTTCTTGCAGGTATAACCCTTATTAAAACAGCTTTTGACTGCACAGACAGAATGCTGTCTTTTTTTCACTCATTCTACTCACAGTTAAAGAGTCACTACAATAATAACAGTACCTTTAACTTAACACAACAGGCAGCTCAAACAAAATCAACGAAATTAAGCAATCAACGAAATTATACGCACGGCTCAATCCTTACGATTCTGAACGCCAAAGCCGTATTTTCCGTCCGAAGGAGGAGCTTAAGCAATGCGCGACGGACTCGACGCAAACCGTTACCGCCAAGAGAGTGTTTTAGCTGTATTGTATAAGCTGTGATATAACCGCAGATACCGCACAGGTTCAGCTTCAGCACTTTTAGGGTACGTTTCGCTATGTTATATCGATACCTACAGTTCGAAGGCGACTCCATATTAGAAATTTACATGCTAGAAGACCATTTTACTTTCAACCTGTCTCCAATGGGCGCGAGTGCATATAGGTTGGCTTTTGCGACAGTGGCGGTGATTGTTATTTAACGATGAAAACAAAATTAGCTGGTGAGTGACGACAATCGGCAAAGAGTTTTAAGAGAACAATGTCATCAACAGCGACTTAATTTTCCCCGCGAAGTTTCTCCCTCTCAAGGGGGTACTGTATAGTTTTGGGGCGACTTTTTACCCGCCGTACCCCATTAATTCGCATACCACAGAATATGACCCACAGATCACTTACTTTAAGAATGGAAACGGCAATGTTAAAATTCGAGACAATATTGTAGCTCCGGGAGACCGTTCTTTGAACTATTTGGAAGGAAGTGGCGCCATGTCGTGGTCACTTTAGTTAATACAAAACGCGGAAACATTCAAAATTATCATTCCCTATTTAATTACAGTTTAAAAGTGGTAGTTAAATTAAGATTTGTTCATACTAACCGTTTTTACGTTATTGTAGCAATAAAATTATATTAGTTACAATAAAGCAAAAAATGAGTAGTTTGAAATAATCCTAACTTGAATACAAGTTTAAATATTCTACTAAAATACAAAAAATTCAAAAGCATGATCAACAAAATCAACAAAAACAAACATACAAATAAAATAATTAAATGTAGCGTGTTAATTAGTTGGAAAGTCAAGTTACTTCATTTTCCACAGCGGTGGAAGAGTTTTATCTGAAATAAAAAATAAATATTAATAAACTTATGCAGCAAATGAAGGTTGAAGGAAGAAAAAGTGACTAAGTCACATTTTTGTCAAAATTGAACTAATACCGTCCTATTTTGTAAAATACCAGAATTTTTCATGTAATAAGTGCATGAGTGTCCATTCTGTAAAACATGGTTTTCAGTTCAGGCTATACCAGTTACCGATACCTGATATGACCAGTCAAATTTACATCGAACAAGTTATTACGCCCATTATCTGTCCCATACGTAATGAATTAGGCGAACATTTTGGGCTTATGGACGACAATGCCCGACCTCATCGCACAAGAAGGGTTCAGGATACACTTGAAACAGAACATATCAGTAGGCTGAATTGGCCAGCCAACTCGCCTGATATGAATCCGATCGAAAACATGGGCTATTATATTGTAAGAGCCATTCATAATCATAAGAACCCAGCTCAGATTGCGATAAAGGAATGGAACAATAAGTATTCCATAAGAGACTATCAACCGTTTGCTTATTTTAATGCACAGACATGTTGATATATTATTGGAACGTGGAGGAAGTCATACCTACTATTAGTTAGGGTACAATATGTTATTACTTCTTTTGTTTCAATAAATTTTGTAAAAAAAATTACACCTGTGTTATGGAATACTATTTAGAAAGGATGAAGGTGTTACATACCCATGCCGTATACCACTGGCAAAGTTTATTTAATTGATTTTTTTGCTGATAGGTGTATCTAATTACACCAGAAATGTTTGCGAATTATACTGAGTAATAAAAAAGTTATAGCCATTAATAATTTTTGAATCTTCAACTTTTTAAATATGTATTTCGAAAACATTTTACCTAAGGTTTCTTTTAATCGTCTTATTTTTAATCAGTTGTTTTATGTCCGCTTCTTAATTGGTGACAATTTAAAAACGTACAATGGCTATATCTCATGAACTAAAGATTTTTATCAGGAAAGTAAAACCTACTAAAAATATTTAAGTTGTACTTCTAACTGGAAATATTTAAAAATATTTGATTCAGATAAACATGCCATCTTTTTTTACCTTGTATAGAATAACTTGAATAATTGAAAAGTATTTTTAACTTGCTTTCCAAAAATGTGTGACAAGTAATTATTTGCTATTTTTTGTTTTTTTTTGTTTATAGTTTCTAAATTTCCGATTGTCTTGTTTAGTGACTTTTATAATGACTTAATAATTGTCAGCGTTACTGCATCAAAGAAGTAATATAAAACTTAAATTGTTTCTGAAAAAAATATTGGAATTTATTCTTGTTGAAGCATTTTTATTTATAACTAAATCTAATAATTTCATAATATAAACAAGTCATATTTTTAGAAAATTACAGTAAATAATTATTCATTTTCGAAATCAGTCCTATTTAAAATATTCAATATGTAACTAGCTATTAAGAGATTATAAAGATTTTGGTTCATATTTGTTTTATAAATACATGCATTGTTTCTTTTATTACATTTATTATATACATTTATACATTTATTTAAATACAGTGAGGACGTATATGTTAGAATAAATTTGATATTTTTTTGTCTAACAGTATTATGGCAAAATGCTTTCACAGGTCAATTTTTATTTTTAACTGCGCATCTTACGCTACAATTGGATATACTAATGATGTCATCACTTTTGTGTACACAATGTAATCGATTTTTTTAACAGAACAATATTTTTCTCTTTATTTTTGCCCAATAATAGACGATTGCAAAATTATATGTAATAATTATAGTCCAAAGTCATTGGTTTGTGAATTAGAGACAAATGTTACCTCAGAAATTTCACCAGGATGAAATGAGGAAGTAGAACAGTTTCGTGAAAAAACTTCACCACAGAAGTGGGCTGCGAGAAAGAATGAAGCCAAGAATCCATCGTGATTGCAACTTAAAGATATGCTATTCAGTGGTATACGGATGGTTCCAAAACCACAAAAGGTACTAGAACCAGGGAAAATACTCAGGCATCTTCCAGGTGGAGGTTCACGAGATTAAGAAGTATATCCAGCTTTAAAATTGAGAGAAATCGCAGACAAGAGGTTATCATCATGTCCTATAACCAAGCAGCCATCAAAGCACTTAGCACTTAGGTAAACACCTCAAAAATGGTCTGGATATGCCTAGAAAAACTGAATGAGTTAGGCAAGGAAAATACAGTAACTTTTACTCGAGTCCCGTGACAAAACGGGGTAAAGGGTAACGAGATTGCAGATAGCAAGAAGGAGCTCAAACACCCTTTGGGGCTGAGCCCTTCTGCGGTATCAGCAGTAACATAATATTAGGAGAGATTAAAAAAGAATTGGACACCAATAATTGGAACAATATCTTAGGCTGAGACAGGCTAAGATACTTTTGGATGAATATGACCAGAAAAGATCATAATCCTGTAGCTGCCTGAGCAAGAATAGGCTAGACACTATAACAGGGATCCTTACTGAGCTTTGTCGACTCAAAGGACACCTCAGTAAACTAAGAGTAGTAGAAGATAGCGAGTGCATATTCTGTGAGAAGGAAGGCGAATCCTTCATTCTCATTCTAAATGATCGTGTAATACTCCAGAATCCAATGGCACTATACTTACGAGAATGTCAAATAGAGGCATCGAGGCATTTCCTTTCTGCATTAGAGACAGAAGATATTTTAGGTCGCAGTGTATTAACACCCCATTCTCAACATAACATATGTTGGAAATTTTGAATTTAAAATTTTGTTAAAAAAGACTGGAGCAATAAACAATAAATAATATCAAAAATTATAAAATAATAATTTCTAGTAAGTTTCAGTTGTATCCTACTTTAGCTTTGTATTTCTCAAATTTTCTGCAAATATTTAAAAATATTTTTAGCAAAAATAATGTAGTCAATGCCTGTAACGAAAAATACTGTAATGACTATTATATTCAAATCGAACGGGAAGAATTTTTAAAATGTGTAAATTCTAATACAAGGCTGCCATCAAACACTAAAATTATAGCTTATAAATAATAATTGGGATACTTATTTTGCTATTTTTTTTTTAGCTAATGGATTGTCATGTTACGACTGTAACTCAAAAGACAGCGTGACCTGCAAGTGGGGCTTGACGTCTTTCACATACAACACCCAAGAATGCACAAGCGCAGGAATATTGGACAATGTCTTCACTCCCAAATGTTACAAGATCACTGCTGAAAGTAAGTATTGTTATGATAAAAAAATGTGAATTTTTTGATTTGATACACAGAATAGATATTTGTGTATTAAGAGCAGAAAGTAACACTCTGGAAGTTGAGACAGTAAGCGGCAACGAACTTTTCGCTCCAGATGCACACAATATTTTTCTACGATCCCATTATTTTAAGAAACAGATATAAAACTGAAAATTTGGCGTAAGTAGTGTATAATGTGTTGCCTATATCTAAGTTAATCATGAAAACCGAGTTGATATTCAATGTTAATATTATTATATCTAATTTAAATAAGGCGAGCAACAAAGCTGTCAAGTTATCCGCTCGGCGAGTGACAAAGTTGTCACTTAATGTCAGTTCGCGGAAAACATCAACTTTGCGGTTGTCTTTAGAAGCGCAAAAGCTTTGGATAATGATCCTAGACAAACATTTTCTTAGCCTACATTTTGTTTTAAAATACCTTTTCATCATATTTTTTTTGTGCGCATGCGTCAGTATCAGCCATCTTTTTCGTACTGTGTTTTGTTAACAAGCATGTTAAAATATCCGCGTGAAAAAAATTATAATCGATAAATATTAATTTTATGTATATTCGTTTAAAAAATGGGATAAAAAAAGTAAATAAGTGTCTTAATTGAAAAATCAATTTTTGCAATCAATTAATTATGTTATCAATACGAAAACCAAAAACTTGAAACGAGACAATTTACTTTTGAACATACTGTATCATGCAAAATATGATATCTAGCACGTTTAGGTCTGAGATGACAATGTCATGAAATTGATTGTATCCATCAATTAAGAATTCGCTTCGATATTTTGTAAAGTATCTTTGAATTGTGACCACGGTAAGTTTCTTTTAGAATATAGAATAAACTTTACTTATATTATTGTTCTTTAGTTGAGGTGGTCTTATTCAAAGAAACTGTAAATATCTCCTACTTTTGCTTCTGCTGTGAGAGGGTCAGAAGGACAGGAACAGTAGGTCAAAGGCGAACAGTAGGTCAAAGGCGAACAGTAGGCCAAAGCCAGAACCACTGCACCATAGCCGTAAGTTAAGTTGTAAGAAGTTGTCCTAGATTGAGTCACTTGCCTTGTTACCAAGGATTGTCCAAAGCGCAGGATGTGCTCAATGTTCACAGTGGACATAACAGACAATTCTTCATAAATAATTCATAGAAAGATATATAATTGTTTTTTAGTTTATATTTGAGTAGTATCTATTAATTATTCTTTCGTTTAGATATTTTGAGTAGAATCTATTATATTTTTAGTTATAGGACTTTGTTTAGTTTTAGCTAGCTAGTTTACGTGGTTCAGAGAATAACTCCTCTGAAACATTATAATTCATTGTGTAAAGGGATTAATAATTAAAATAAAAATTGTTATTTGAAATCATCTTATTTCCCACGTTTAACTTTATTCCAAAATAACCCGAAGTAAGGGTATTGTTACAAACTAAACGGTATTTTTATGAGTATGTAAAAGTGACACACGGTATAAATTAATATTTTATAAAAAAACTTGCCTGCAATATCGTAAAAACTATCAAATTAGGCAAAATACATATTAAAACATGTTCAAAATGAGCATTATGAGTGAAAAAATGTGGTCGAAGTGACAAAGGTTTTCGATCGATTGATGGATGATGTTAGGTACTAAAGATACTTATATTTGTTCACTACATTTTCATGGAGAAAGTGATTCAACAGAAGAAAATCCTTGTCTGGTATTACACAATATTTTTTAATATTAAATACTACTTCGGTATACACAGTAATATTATTAAAAATGTCATGTTGATCCTTAAAATTTTAAATAATTTATCTTATTAATTATACTCGTGATTAACTTTTATGTTAAAGTGTTTTTGCAATTATTAATAGTTGGTTGGCATAATTAATTAGAATAGAGTTATAATTATTATTTGTTTTCATTAATTTTTTACACAGTTAATATTGAAACCTAACCTCTCAATCACACTTTTTTTCCTTCTTCCGAACGCCCATGTCACTTCAAGAACCTTTTTAATTGCTCAAAACTATGTGCTTTCTCAGAGTTATAAAAGTGTAAATCACCATCAACGATTTTTTCTAATGATTGATTTGTATGTAGAGATAATATTGCTTTTCCAGCCATTGTTGATCAAAACAGTACGAAAAAACTCTTTTATTGAAATCTATAACCCTTGTCCCATGTCTGATGTTATGTCACAAGTCAGTCATCGATTTTTAACATATCCTCCAAGTATCCCCATGTGATGGGCAGATGTCTACCCCTCACATTTTTTACATAATTAACAGTGCTATTTCTAAAGTGGCACTAGGAAACAGTAAAAAAGCCTACACAGAACACGAGGCGAAATAACAAGAGTAGTTGAAGCCTATGACACAAAAAAAATTATAATTTAGCAAATTTTTACCTAGTCAATTACTTTGTTTGATGATATTGGATAAATGGAAATAAAATGTAGTGTAATTGCAAAAGATTTTGATGAATGTCTTGGATACAGTCTTGTCCAAAGTTTTCCTAAATAGTCCTTCAACAAATTCTTTATTATTTCCAAAATTTTCCATAACATTTCTTCTTCCTCCATAATATTTTTTTTCTTGAATTCCAGCATTATTATATCTTTAAAGATTTTATGACTTTCCGTTGTCTCTACATGCTTTGCTGTTATTTCCTTATTCAATCTGTGCTTCGAAGTTCATCTTTTGAGATTCTTTTTAGGAGGGCAATCAGGAAGGTTCTCCTCTGACTCTATATGTATGTACAACTTTGTTGACAAACATAAGGTCCGGGAAGAGTTAAAGAAGCTTCATCACAGGCATTTGTTACCTGTTTAATCAAAGGTTTAGTCAAAGGTTCGTACCTGAAAAAATACAAAACAATCTATTTTACATTTTCCATTATCATACAGGTATCGAAAACTTTTTTCTTCTTAAAATAAGTTCTTAACACACGCTATAATAGTGTGTTTGGGCACTTGTGCCTAAAATATAGTACATTATATTACGAGTGTGGAAAATTACTTTTACACAATTAAAATGTATTTAAAAAAATAATCAACAATAATTGTATTTATTTAATTTTCATATTTTTCGAAACAAAAATAAAAAAAACAAAAAAAAACAAAAAAAAACAAAAAAAAACAAAAAAAAAACAAAAAAAAAACAAAAAACAAAAAAACAAAAAAAAATCTGCAACCAGCAAGTTTTGAACGCGGGTCCGCGGTCCCGTAGTATAAGCCAAAGTTCAAATCGCAACTACCCTACAACCTGAGCTAATGGGTCTTATGTCAAATGCATTTTTAATTTGATTTAAGTTTAAACAGAATAAAAAGCCAAAATAATGAGATGTATGTAGTTATTTAAAAATTATTTTAATAAGTATTAAAAATAAATATCTAGGATCTAAGTTAATCGTCAATTTTAATAATTTATTTATCATATCGATTTTACTATTAATGTGGACATTACAAAAATCAAAATAGAAATGATGCGTTTAATATTATGTGACAGCTGAGCGAAAATATAAAACGAGGTTTATATATTATATATATTATATATATTATAATAATCAAATTGAAAAACAATAAATAATAATCGTATTTATTCAATTTTAATTTTTTCTAAACAAAAAAAAACTAAAAAACAAAAAAAATTCTGCCCCTGCAAGGATTTGAACGCGGTCGCTCACCAGGTCTTAAATGGCAAAGTTGATTAAGTTTGATAGTCTACCACCTGAGCTAATAGGCCTTGCGTCAATTGAATTATCTAATCGGGTGTGTGTTTAATCAGAATAAAAAGCAAACATAACTTAGTTATTTTAAAATTATTTTAATAATAATTATTAAAGATAAATATCTAGGATCTAATTTACAATAATGTAACAATCATATCGATTATAGTATTAATATGGGCATTACATAGATCAAAGTAGAAATGATGCGTTTGACATTTTGTGACAGCTGATGCGGAAAGTAGCATATTCGCACACGGGTGGAAAATAAATTCTTATTCATACGCGTGTGATATAGGGCACTTTCCATTGGACTATATAGTGTGATATGTATCACTTTCCTTAGTGGTCGTAGGAAAAAATATTTTATTATCTGATTTAGGTATTTATTACTTCTCAAGACTAAAGTCAGCTTAAAAGTATTGTATAGATTTTGTCCACTTTCATCAATACAAATACGAATAATTGTAAATAAATACTTATATATTTCATCAGAGTCACTTGAACCGTAGGTACAGTATTTGGTATCACAACAAAAAAGAAAGAAAGATCTATCAAATGAGTTTTCTGTAAAATGGTACATAAACAAGATTCCATTCATCCTTTTTTTATAATCTTGGCTTATTATTTTCTTTTATTTTCATCAAGTGGAAAACTGAAAATGCAACAAAAACGTGCCATAAACGAGCAATACTTTTTGATAGGATCAGATTTTAAGTTTGATAGGGGTCTCTTCTGTAACAATTCCTTTATATTTAACGGCCTTTAAAAATATTGGCGGCCTTTAAAAGTATATTTGTATTCGTTAATTTACTTCTGTCATTATTTAAATAGATTTCTTTAAGATAGTCCTCTAATATATTTTAAAGATCCGTTTAAATAATGACAGAAGTAAAGAAGAAAATATTTTTAAAGGCCGTTAAATATAAAGGAATTGTTACAGAATAGACCCCTTAATAATTTACTATTACTATTACTATTGTTAATATTAATTATAGTTAGTACAGCAAATCATAAATTAATGTAAAACAAAATAATTGGGCAGCTTCATGTTTAACTTAAAATATCTCGAAAAATAATAACTTTATCGCTATGAAAAAAGAGTATAATATTTACTTAGAAAGTATTGGAGAATCGAAAAATTGTGAAAAAATTGCAATTCCGCCAGTGGCCCAGAATTTGGGAAGGATTAACCAGTGACTTGCCCCTGTCGTACGCCTCTGATGGTAGCCAGGAACGTTTATTTAACATAATTTAGTAGGGTG